CACGCACGCACTCCCCTAGCCTAAGGCCACTGCTCAGCAGGGGGTGGAGTGGGGGTGTCCTTGTCTTCCAAGGGGGCCTTGACCAGTTGACCCGCTGTGGGCAATTTTTATGCCACCCCGAGGGTTCCTGCCTGGTGATTTATTCCAGGGCTGGGTGGAGAGCTTTGAAATGGGGGCTTCCCCACCGTCCTCCAGGGACCTAGCAGTGTAGGGGCTTAGCTTTGGCTCCTACTTGCCAGACCTCGAGTGTGGGGGACCATGAACCTTAAGGGATTCCCAGTTCCCTCCAAAAGCTGCCCGGCCTCCGATTCCAGCCAGGGCTCTTTATTCTGACTACAGAAGGGGAGGGTCCTGTCCTCACATAGTGCAAGTTGGTGTATTCACCTCGACGGCCCAGAATGATCTGACAACCTGCTCATCGGAAAAAATTGGTGTTCCCCACCTGCCCTCCAGCCTGCCTGGGACGCGTCTGTCAGTCTTTGCTCCAAAGTTCTGCTTCCATTCGGAGCCCCTGTGTCCCGCACACCCAGCCACCGAAGGGGTACCCCCTGTACCTACCTGGGTTCCGTCCCCGCCTGCGATCTCCTCAGGGTCTCTGAGGTGAGACCACTTGTGTGGGTGGACACCGCAGGGAGGGAAGCTGGGCTCCTGGCTTGCTCTCCCCCAGCTCCCTGGCCAGCTCCCTTATAAAGCCCAGGGTGATGGCTCCAGACACAGGTCCCCCTGCCACCCCCCCTCTCCTCAGAGAGCGAGTCTGCGGACTCCTGGTGCTCGTGATGAAATCCGCCTCTTCTCCCCCGCCCCTCAGAAGCCCTTTGGGCTGGCTCTTGAATCCTGCTAGCTCTTTTCATCCTCCTCCCCGTCTTCCTCCAGACCCACTCAGTTGGCGCTCCCTTCTGCCCCAAACAATGTGAAAATGGGCTATTTGACATGGGCGAAGTCATCAACACACCAACCCAAAGCAAGTGTGCTAGCGGGAGGTGTGGGCCTCGTCCCTGACCAGGTCAGGGACCCAGCTCTGACCAGGTCAGCTTGTGTCTCAGACCCAAGGGGGCTGTTCTGCCACTCTAGGAAATCCTCTCCTGTCTTTCTGAAGTCACAGGTTCAGCACAGGTTATGGGATGAACACGACGGTCAGTGGGCGAGGCAGACACGGAGGTGGCAGGCTGAGAAAGCCAAATAGAACAGCTCGGCAGGTGGGTGTCCCTGGGGAGTGCCAAGCAGACGCAGAGCAGAGCCCTCAGGCGGCAGAGCAGAGGACCCAAAGGTGCTGCTCCAGGGCCCCCCTCCACACCTCGTCACGTTGTTGTGCACCTCTTTTTCGAGGCAGGGAGAGGTCTTCTCCTGGCACCTAGCCCCTCCCATTGCCCAGCACATGCACGAGGGCCCTCGACGGCGACTACTAACAGGCATCATGAGGACGCTGGTCTTCGGGGTGTGCAGAACACCCTTTACCCTCTGGCAGGGATCTGGTGTCCCAGGGCACACTGACCCCTCTATCAGTCCGGGGCTTCCCGAAAGTAGGAACGATGTGTCTCCCAGCCCAGGCGTCTACCTGTCGGCTGTGCGGGGCAGACGTCCACTGAATGGCTGGGAAGCTCCCAGCCTGCAGAATTACCACCCATTGCCATCCAATGCTTATGGCCCATGGGGTGGCAGGGCTGGCACATACAACCGTGAAGCCCTAGGATGAAGGCAGCAGCCTGTGCAGCAGGCCCGCCTAGGAGGGGACTTAGCGACTCGAGACACTGACACCTCACAGCTTCGGCTTTAATTTGGCTTTTCCTCCCAGAAGTCTGACCTCCGGGGCCTGGGTCTTGGGCCCCCACAGTCCCGGCAGCCTCGTGAGTTGACCTGAGGCGTGGAGGTCAGTCCCTCCTATCTGTCCTTTCTGGATTTAGCAAGGTCAGTACATAACTGCAGGTGGGGCTGGAGGGAGTAGCCCCATTTCCCTCCCAGCCCCCGCAGCCGACGATCCAAGTTCAAGGAGCTCATCTCTGCTCTTCAGACCATTGAGCTGCTGCCCTGGAGCCTGTGGAACAGCTGCGAGAGCCAAGAATCATTATTCCAGACAAAGAGTGGGGAGCCCAGCCAATATCGAGGTTATTAAGGAGCCGGCCTTGAGCGCTGGGGCTGAGCGAAACACAGAAGTGGAAAGGGGGCTCCCTCCGGGTGTGCCCAGCTGGCAGGCAGATCAGGGCTGCCTCCCCCCACCCCACCCCCCCGAACGCCAACCCCCTCACCCCCAACCCTGGCTTCCCCCAGCGCTCTGATTCTACCAGGTGCTTCAGGGAAGGGAGAGGCAGGGGGCCGCAGTCCCTTCTCTGCCCAAGGAGGGGTATTTCTGCCACCGCTCAGTCTGCTGTATCTGGCGGTCACCATCCTCTCCAAGCCCAGCCAGCACCCAGAAACCCGGCACTCTCTAGCTAGGTCCCCTAGAATCTCTAAGCCTCCGCTTCTGTTGCTCCAACACGGAGCCACACAAAGCTGCCTCCCTGCAACACGCAACTGCTCTCACCGTCAAATGGAAAAGGGGGGGCTGGCAAGAGGAGCTGAGGCTGGCTAGCTCCAGGAAGGGGGGCCACTACCCACGCTGTGCTCCCCTCACCGAGTCATGCAGCAGCCACTTACCACACTCAGGAAGGGGATGTCGAAAGCGTTGCCCAGGAAGCCAAAGGCCACAGGGAAAAAGCCCCTAGGAGCAGAGGAGTGGGGGAGAGTCAGCACCGCTTCGGAGGTTGGGGGCCGGGGCAGGGGTGGGAGCGAGACTCAGCCTCCTCACGGGCTCAAGCTTTGCCTCTGAGGAGAGCAGGCTGCTGGGCACTGGCGAGCAGGCCAGTGAGGTTCTGCACCCTGTTTTTGGAGCGGCAGTCAAGTGCACTGCTTAAGAATGAGGGCCCCGGTGTGACTCCTTGGTTTAGTCCTGACTCTGATTGAGGCTGCTGAGTCACATTCCTTAACTCCTCTGAATCTGGTTCCAGCTGTAAAATGGGGGTGATGATAGTATCTGCGCCAGAGGCCTTACACGAGGAGCTGCCTGGGAAATGCTTCCTCTTATCAGGGTTGCTGCCATTGTCATTACCCTCTGGCCAGCAGCCTGCTCCTCCAGACTGGCTGTGTCCACCTGCCCCAGACTTCCTGGGCTCCAGGCGCAGTTGGCTGTTGGGGGCTGTGCTCATGTTTATTTTCCCTCAGGCCTTGGCTCCCCCATGCACCGAGCCGCCTTTTGCCATGCCCCCTCCCCACCACCGTTTTATACAATACCCCCTGGTGGGCCTGGCTGGGGACGGTTGTGTGACCCCTCAAAGTCAGAGCCCTGCGTGGGAGGTGCTCCGCGGAGTGAGGGCTTTAGATTTGTGGGTTCTGGCTGAGCCTTGGCCTCTGTCCCCTGAGGTCCCCTACAGCTCTGGGCCCCAATAGCGGTAGTTATTGCTATTATTTGCTCTGAGGTGCTACCGCGGGTGTCTCTGTCAGGGTTAAGATTGCCTTGGACTCTGGGTGTGCAGTGACCTGGCCCACACTCAGACCCCAACACAGAACAGCCTGTCAGCATTTGTCTCCCTGACTGGACCGTAGGCTGCTCGAAGCTCCTTGTTTAGAGCTGGTTTCCCACCTACTCCTGATTTACACACAGTGAGTGCTGTCATCTATGTGACCTTATGATAAATGACTGAATGCAAACATATTCGAACGTTGACTAAAAGGATGGTAAAGCAGGGGTGAGGAAATTTAGCTCTTGAAGCCGCACTCGGTGGTATCTGCGTGGCCTAAGGCATTTGGCCTGAATCAGAGGGTCCAGGGGATCATGACCCCACTCCTTCCTGTGATACAGACCTGTCCTCCTCACCCCACTGTGCTCTCCCCACTGGACCTCGGAAGCCAGAGGCTAGGTGTCTCCCCAAACCACCTCCCAACAGCCTTTCTTTTCCTTGAGCTCCCCCGGTCTTTCCTGAGGGCCACCTCACCACCTGATGCCTGTGTCAGGTCCTGGGCCTCTAGGACAGCCCCTGGCCTTGACAGTAGTCACAGGGCCGATGGCCAAGGTCAATTTGTCCCTCACCAGGCCCAGGGCTGAACTGGGCCAGCCTGAGGCGTGCAGGACTGATGGCCAGAGACAGGCGGGCCTGCTCAGATCCTCTGCACACGGCTTGTGAGGACTCGGGCGGGGCAGCTTCTTGAGGGCTGGCTTCCTGATCTGTGCAGGGGGACAGTCCCACAGACGGCTGAGCCATGAAGGCTGAGTGTGGTGTCCATCGGGGGCCTGGCAAATGTCAGGTCTGGCCCTTATTCCTGTCTGGATCATTCAACCCAAGGGCAGGCCCTGGGTCTCCTGCCAAGTGACAGGCTTGGTGCTGGGCACACAGTAAGTGCTCAATGTTTGCTGAGGATGCCAGTTTTTCATCCTGTTTCCATCCTTCCGTGGCCCCCACATGCAGGGTGAAAACCCAGCCTCTGCACCCTCGCCCCGATGGGGTGCACTGGGGACCCTGGTGGGCTCGTCTTGGGGGGCAGGGGCCTGCACTCACTTGAAGAGGGTAAAGAATCCGTAGGCTTCCAGGAACATGCCCAGGAGGGGCCAGCGCAGGAGCACAATGAACACCCCCCCCAGGAAGAAGCTGGTGCCCTTGAGCTTGTGCCTCTGGAAGAAGAAGGAGCATGTCTTCCTCAGGCCGATGATGAAGGAGAGGCCGGTCAGGAACAGCAGCTGCAGGAGAGGGAGGGCGCGTGAAGCAAACTCACCAGGCCGGCTTCCTTCCAGAAGGTTCCAGAGCTTTCTCCTTCTGCAAACTTTCCTCTCGCTGTCCTGTCACCTGCAAGAGCTTTCTCCACACTCCAAATGCACACAATTCCCTTTCCAAATTCTTTTCCACCCTCTCCCACCGGGTGTGCTCTTTCCTCCAAGCACCTTGCTTTGTGGCAAATGTGTTTATCCAAGCAGAGCCTGCCTTTCTTCCTGTCCTGTGTTCGTGTTATATCCCAACCCCCAGACGGTGCGAATGGGGGTTCAGGGTCCTGAATGAGGCCCGGCGGCCACACTGGGCTGGGCATGAGCAGCCAGGCTCTCGGGTTCTCCACAGCCCTCTGCCTGCCTGCTTCCTGCCATCCTCACCTGCCCAGGCTTGATGGTGCCACCCTGGGTGGGCACAACCTTCCTGGCAATACAGATTTCACTGATGTTGGCAGGGACTGTAGGGGTGGGGAACTCACGTTTCCAAAGGCCAGGAGCACCGAGTCAAAGTATAGGAGTATTCCCAGGAGGATGAAGAAGACGCCGAAGCCCGCGGTGCCCACGCCGATCTCTGCAAAGGGCAAGAAGGTACTGGGGGTGGGCTTTGGGGAGCAGGTTGAGAGGCTGGAACGCCCTCCCCCACACTGCCACTGGCAGGGTCTCTGGGGGTGGGAGAAGGGGCGCTCCATTTCCTCTAGGAGTCTAGACTCAGGAAAGGCTGGTTTGGGAAGGGACAGAAAGGAGGGGCACCAGCTGTGTTTGGCACCAGGAACCCGCGGGCCGGCTCTCTACGTCACATCCCCGTCCTCACCATGGCAGGAGGCAGCTCTTGCCACCCTCACCGCTCCTATCTTCAGCTTCCTCTTTCCAAACGCCACATTCTCTGGGTCATTCCGGCTGATCCACCTGGCCCCTCTATTCCTGTCCTCTTACCCTTGGGAGCCGCTGACGCCCACCCTGGTCAAATGTGTGTCCCCAAAACTCACCAGCCCCAGAGGCCCTCAGAACCACCCAACAGTCCCGCTCTACTGCCCGAGAGGCTTGCCCTCTTGAAACTTCACTGTCTCTTTCTCCTCTAAACTGTCCCCTGTCCCCAGCTTTGGTGACAAGAGGCGATGACCTCCTATACTCATTGGGACATGAGTCATCTGTCAGGGATGTGCCCGGCCTCCCACTCAGGAGCCTTCACCCCAGCAGGCACCTGGGCCTTCTGCTCCCTCCCGCCCTGCCCATCCGCTGTGTCTTTTCTGTTCTGCTCCGTGTCTCGGCACCTTCTTTGTCACTGTAGGAGTTGCTCAGTTGTGCCAATGGGCAGGATATTAGAGCCCCCTTGTTTGGTCAAGGGTGACATTTTTGACATTTTGCTACATATTTCAGATTGCTCTGCTCAAGAACAGTTGTAACAATGACCTGGCATGCAATTCCTTTTTTTCCTCAAAACTTCTCCATCACAAAGCCTGGTACATTTTGCTTATCTTTGCCACTCTGATGGCCAATGACAGTTCATTGTGTTGTTTCAATTCTAAATTACTTTGTTTTAAGTTGTGCTAAAGTCCTCGTTACATAAAACGTACCACCTTCCTGTTTCTAAGTGTGTAGCTCAGGGGCACTAAGAACATCCCCACCCTTGTCCCACCACCACCATCAGCCATCGGCAGAATGATTTGCACCTTGAAAACTGAAACTGTCCCTATGAGGCACCTTCCCATCCCCCCTCCAGCACCTCCAGCCCCTGACAACTTCATTTCACTTTCTGTCTCTATGAATTTCAATAGTCTCTGGACCTCTGTAAGTGGAGTCAGTGACTGCCTTATTTCACTTAGCATCATGTCCTCAAGGTTCCCTTTGTAAGACTGAGTAATAGTCCACCACCCCCACACACACCTTGTTTTGTCTATTCATGCATCTGTCAACTCAAGCAACTCATCTTGCTTCTACCTCTTGGCTATCATGAGAAGGCAGATATAACACGGTTGAACAGAGATATCTGGATATATACCTTTTTGATTCTTTGCTTTCAATTAATTGCATTGCTTCAATTCTAAATTAACTTGTTTTAATTCGCGGTAAAGTCCTCGTTACACAAAACTTCTGGGTATACACCCAGAAGTAGAATTGCTAGAGCTTACAGGAATTTTATTTTTTAATTTTTAAAAAAGATTATTTATGCGTACAGAACTGGGGTACAGGCCAGAGGTACAGGGGCGGTGAGAGGATTCACCAGAGACAGAGTGGCTGACTGATGAAGTACACTGCTGAGGGGAGCAGCGGGCGGGTCAGGAGAGGTCTGCCGCGCCCTGTGGATCACCTCATGCTTAAGTGGCTTTAGCTTCTTAGTGCTGTGCTTTAACCTGCTGCACCACCAGGGAGAGCCAGAGTTTTATTTTAAATTTTCTGTCTTTAGGAATTGCCATGGTTTTTCCATGTTCTTGAGTTCTTTGCCGACATTTGTTATTTTCCGTGTTTTTTTGCTTTGTTTTTGCTAGTATCCATGTATGAAGTAGTGTCTGGTTATGGTTTTGACTTGTATTTCCCTACTGATGAGTGATGTGGAGCATCTTTTCAAGTGTTGTTGGCCATTTTCAGATCTCCTTTGGTGAAGTATCTATACAATTCCTTTGCCCATTTTAAAAACAGGTCAGTTTTTTTTTAATTGATGAATAGCAGGAGTTCTTTATATTTTTCTTGATATAAGCCTCTTATGTATATATTAATCCCTGGATGTAATTCCAGATATATGATTTGTAAATATTTTCTCTCACTGTATAGGTTGTCTTTTCACTCTGACGATTGCGTCTTTTGATGCACAGAAGTTTTGATATAATCTGACTTACTCATTTTTTTTTCTTTAGTTATCCAAGTTGTTTGTGTTGTATCCAAGACATCATTGTCAAATCCATTGTTTTGAAGCTTTTCTGTGTTTTCTTCTAAGAGTCTTATAGTTTTAGCTCTTACTGTGCACTAAAATGAAATTAGGGCTGATTTTCATAGATGTGTAAGGTGAGGGTCCAACTTCATTATTTTACCTGTAAATGTCCAGTTTTTCCAAAATCATTTGTTGATGTTGTTCTTCCATAGAATGGTCTTGGCACCCACTGTTGAAAGTAATTTGACCACACATGCCAGGGTTTATTTCTGGACTCTATTCTATTCCACTGATCTGTATGCCAGTCCCACACTCTTTTGATTACTGTAGCTTTGTAGTACGTTTTGAAATCAAGAATTGTGAAACCTCTGACTTGGATCTTCTTTTTCAAGATTGCTTTGGTTTTGGGTGGTCTGTTAAGATTCCACATGAATTTTAGGGTGGAATTTTCTATTTCTGTTAAAAAATGTCTTTGGGGTTTTGATAGTACCTCCTTTAAAAAATATTGGCTACTTCAAGTTTATATTTTGACAGTTTTGACACTTGCTTAATTTATTTAACATAGCTAGAATGACTCCTTTTATTGTAAATTGTGTGGTAGGTAGGGCGATGGGAAGAGTATTTTTTAAAACTCAACATGTAAAGCTTTATTAAAAATGACTTAATTAAATGATGCAAGGCCCATCACAGATGAAATACCTTCTAATAAGTTCTTCCAGGTAACTTGCCTATACAGACAATAAAAAAAAAATGAGGAAAAAAATGACTTCATTTAAAAAATCAGAATTGGTTTAGTTTTTTAAAGAAAACAATAGGTAATTTTTAAAGGGAATTTCTTTACCTGTTAATTAACATCTCAGAATTGATCATTACAATCTCTTATTGTCATGCTCTTATCAGTAGTTGTTAGAATTAGAGGGGAAATTATTTTGGTTGTTTGGAGGCAGAACTGTTAAAAACAAACACATGTTACCAAAACTAGATTTACCAGCTGAGTTTTATTTACAATGGAAAGAAAAGAAACAACCCAATCCTCTTCCGGGTAGGTAGATAATCTCTCCTAATCTGTTACTGTACAGAGTTTGAGAGGATTAGGATCAGTTCCAGTGTAGAAGTGAGACCACATGACTTCTTTTTAAAGTTATAAAGATGAGATTTATCATTCAGGTTATAACTGAGCCTTGACCAACTCTTAATCCAAAATCATGCTAGTCGAGTCGGGTTTCTGTTTCATCAAAGCTGAATGTTGCTCTGACATCATTTCTGTCCAGAATCCATCTTTGACTAACGACTGACTCCTGACTTCTGTCCCTGACACGCCTCTGTGACCCCCTTGCTACTCAGGTAACGCCTGCTGGAGCTAAGTCTCTCAGAAGTCAGGGCACTGGGCAGGGTACTCCGCTGTGCATGTGGCGTGAGTTTTCTGTCCTCAGAAACAACCAGTTGAGATGGAGAAGTACATCCACTTTGTCGTGATAATTTATCTTGGCCAGGATATTGTGATGAAAGACCACAACCAGAAGTGGAGGTTTGCATTTCCTTTCCATATCACGGAAAGAACTGTTCCAGACAGGAGACGCTCAGCCATGGCAACTGGAGACCAACGTGATTCTGAAGGGGTCTTTATATATAATAGTTTATTTTTACATCATTTTGTGCCTTTTTCCATCGCAGTTGTAATCCCCCTGGACTTCCCACCACCAATTCACCCAAGTGCAATCACCATAGTCCTGTACACTCCCCTCCCCCATTTTTGATCCCATTCCCCACTCCACTCCGGTAAAATTCTCTGGTATATAGTTGTCCATTCTTCCCTCGCCCCCCCCCCCAGGCCTTAATGCTCCTGCTATGACTGAAATCATCTGGCATTTTTCTTTCTGGCTTATTTCACTAAGCATTATCCCTTCCAGCTCCATCCATGTTGCTGCAAAAGGCATGAGTTTATCTTTTTTGATTGCTCAGTAATATTCCACTGTGTATATGTACCACATCTTTTTAATCCAGGCATCTACTTTTGGGCATTTGGGTTGATTCCATGTCTTTCCTACCAGCTTGCAGCACTGTGCCCTAACCCACTGCGCCCCTAGGGAGGGCCACAATGAAAACTTTTACACAATCACACTTTTTTATTTCAAAGGACAAAGGTATTTTAAGTCTTATTATAAAGATATTTGTTGTTAGCTTACATCTACCATCAAAATATGTCATTGATTCTCCTTCACACTAGCTAGCATTCCCATGCATCTAGGTAGAAATAATGGGAACATTTAAGTGGGTTTTCATTTTATTTTAATATACCCCTAAACACATGGCCCTCCCTGGTGGCACAACGGTTTAGGACGCAACACTGCAAGCTAGCCGCAGCTGCTTCAGTGGGAATTCAATACTCAGCCCCGGAGTTGACCCCGATGGTGCAGCAGACCTGTCTCAGCCACTGCTCCCTTCAGCAGTGGACTTCGTTGATCTGCCTGTTCTGCTCCCCATTCTGTCTCTGGTGAAGCCTCTCACCCACCTTGAACTTTGGCCTGTACCCCAGTTCTGTATGCATAAATAAGTAAATAGATTTTTTTTTAAAGAAAAAAGTATATACCCCTGTGCGCAATCTGTACAGGTTCCCTTACTCGTTTCTCAAATGCACGCTCTTTCCTCCTACACTGGACTTTCTCCTGCAACAGTGAGTTGCTGGCTCGTACATATTACTCTCCCGAACCTTTTCACTCTTCCTCAAGGGCTGCGGCAACTCTGGAATTTTCCTGAGATGGGACAGACCCGCTACATTAACTGCACTGTGGTCACAGACCCTCACAGTGAAAGGGCCAGACAGGGTGCTTCTCACACGCAAGTCTCGGACCTTTCTCTCCTTGCAGAGTCGCTTTGCCGTGTCAATTAAGTGACCAGCCTGGGGTTCTTCCCAAAGATACACCCCGGCCTGACTGGGGTGGGACGTGTCCCAGGAGAGACCGCGTTAGCATTGCTGCCGACTGGGGAGGCGCGCCCCCTGCTGGAGATCATCCGCGGTGCCGAGAGCCGCGGAGGGCCCAGTCAGCTTCCGGGAGGCCGGGCGCTCTGGGGCGCCGCCTAGTGGACATCCTGGAAGCAGAGACCCCCCCTCTACCAGGCCCGGGGGCTGATTTTTGGGAAAGCTCCCGCGACTGCAGGGTTAGCTCGGAGCTGCCTGGAGCCCACAGCTTGCTCCAGTTGCAGAGGAGCGAGCTGCCCCAGCTCCCCTCTTGGCAGGCAGAGGAACCGAAGCCAAGTGTCTTTTCTGTCCCACAAAACAGCCAAGGTAAGCAGCCTTCTGGACCACAGCTGTGTGGGGAGTCCCAGGACATCAGCTCTCTCTAAAAGCAATCACACTCTTACCACCGGCACCTTTGGCCTGTACCCCAGTTCTTGTATGCACAAATAAATAAACCTTTTTGAAAAAAAGCAAATAAAACCAATGACACATGGGAGGAAAAGTTGCAAGTACCATGCAAAGCATTTTCCCCTGAGCCATTTGCGAGCAGTTGCTGCGGGGGGTCTCTCTTCACCCCTCAATGTTCTGGCCTGACTTTGCTTTTCCTGCGGAGCCAGGACATGACGGCCAAAGCCAGGAGATGGACGCATTTCCCACTACCTAACTCTCAGGACCTCCCATTCCAGCCCCCTCCCAGCGACCTCATCTAGAACAAAAGCCCCCTCCTGACGGCAGTGGGGTCTGGCTGCCATGGCTGAACATCTCCTGTCTGGAACAGTTCTTTCCTCCACGAGACCTTGAGATTTTTAAAGATCTGGGCCACTTTGTTTGTCGCTGTCCCTCTATTCGGGTCTGTGATGCTTCCTCAGAACTAGATTCAGGCTATGCTGAAACAGTGACAAGACGCGAGGCTGCGTTCTCACGGCACCTGTCACGTGGCCACGACTCCAATGACTGACGCTATTTCTATAACTACATGACTGACGTGCTGTCTGCCAGTCTCCTTCACCTTAGCGCTCCTCTCCTCCTGCACGGGATCCTGCCAGGATGCCCTTCTCACCCGCCTGGCGCCAGGAGCCCCCAGCGTGAACCAGCGTGGAGCTCGGGCTCTGGCTCAGCCTTCTCCCGAATGGCTTTCAGACTGAATTATACAGAAAGAAGGAGGGAAATGCGGAGAGGCAACACTGGCAGTGATTCAGATTATTCCAGTGATGGACACACGTGCCGGGCACAGACTAAGCACGTGTATTTGTTTCATTATCCCAACTGCCCATGAGGCAGGTCTGCGGTTAGACCCATTTCACAAGGGGACGGAAGCACGGAGAGGTTAAGTCACTTGCCCAGGGGTATACAGTCAGCAGCTGGCAGGCCCAGCGTTTGACTCCAACAGCCTGATTCTAGAAAAAGTGCCTTTAACTCACCCAGTCTAATCCACGTCTGCTCTACACCCACCACAGAAATTGCTCTTGCTTGGTGAGTTCATGTTGCCAAATCCCCCGCACAGGCGGTGATCCTATCTGCCATCCCATCCTCCCAGAGGTCTTGATAGATCCTTCTGTTGGCTTCGTGGCCCGGTTTCTCCCTGTAGGTCTGATGGTTCTCCCCGCCAGCTCCCACTTCTCTCTCACCCTCTTGGCATTTGAACCACTCAGGGCTTGGGCCTGAGCTCACGTCTCTGCCCCCAGAAATGCTCCCCCTGTTCCAGATCTTGCCCATCTACAGTCTATTCTCAACCCAGCATCCAGCACAATCTTTTAAAAATATAAACATCATTCTTTTACATAAAATCTTCCAATGGTTTTCAGTCTTAAGACGATAAAACCAAAGTTCTTGAACATTCTGGCCTCTCGGTGACTTCTGGGATAGATGCCCACCGTCTTCCCTGTTCTTTGCTCCACTTTTTCAGCCTCTTTGTTTTTCAAGCAAACCATAGCTAGTGCCTCAGGGCCTTTGACAGGTTGCCTGATTCCTGGGCCATCTTCCCCCTCCAGGTAACTGTTGGGCTTTGCTTCCTCACATCCTGCTGGCTCTGATTAAGGCAGCCTCTCCTGCCTGCTGTTACCAGACAGTGACCCTCCCACTCCCACCCTCTGGCTTCCTTACCCTGCTTTTTTTTTGTCCAGCAGAGGTATTGCAACCTGAGGTGGTGACCTCTTTGTCTGTCTCCACTCTCTGTCTCCATCTCTGTCCCATCATTATTGTATCCTCCCTGCCCCACACAGGGCTTGGCATGTAACAGAGGTAACGTGTGCAGTGAATGAGTACTTTCTCCAGTCCACAGATGAGACATTGGGGCTCAGAAGCTCTTAGCAACTCACCCAAATGACACTCCCGGAGACAGCTCTGCCTGCCTTCCGATAGCTGCACTGTAATTCCCTGATCGGCCAAGGAAGGGGATGGGTGTTTAGAAATGAGGAGATTTGGGAGGGGGGTGAGGTCTGGTTTCTAAGAAGGGACCCAGGGCCACAGTAGACCCTGAGTTTGTGGGGGAAAGATGTCCGAATGAGCACAGGCAGGCCTCCTCCATCCGCCTTTGCACCATCCCTTGTCTAAGAACCCTGAATGGAAAGGGGCCAGCAGGAGTGCTAAACTTGCGAGTTTTCCCCAGACACCAGTTTCTGGGGTCCCTGAGCGAGCCCCACTCACTAGAAAGCTGGGGAGCCACACCCCCTGACCCTGCTGTCTGGAGGATGCCAACACAGCAGCTCCAAGTTCCTGGCTCCAGAGGTCGCTGGCCTCGCAAGTTCCCCAGAGAACAACCTGGGCTGAGGGGACGGCGCCTCCCGTGGGTCCTAGCCGGGATACCCCATTCCAGCCCAGCCCCCTGGACAGCACTCACTCTGCCACTCCGTGATGGACACCATGCCGCAGGCTGCCTGGGGGGGCCTTCCGGGCGGAAGCTGGCAAGAGATGAGGAGCAGAAAGGACCGACCTGGTGCATGCTCTGGTGCCACTGACCCTTGGTAAATTGCGAAATGAACTCTGGTAAATCATTAGCTCCCCCGTTCCACACGCACACATACACACACCCAAATGGGGCTTCATAAAAGTCTCACGCTCCCGCCTGGAAGTTCTCGCACAGGCCCCGCCCCTCTTAGCCCAGCCCGTGCCCCGCCCACCGGGAGGCCACGCCCACCTGCCATCTCACCTCCTCCCCACCCTGTCCCGGAACCTGAATTCAGCAACTCCACAAAACTTGGACTGTTGTGTATGGAAGAACTGGGAATTGGTATGCCCAGGTTCCTAACTCGGTTTGGTGTAGGGTATAGGAAGGTTGGAATCCGTTTCTCCTTGGAAAAGTACTGCTTTACCTTCTACCTGAAGTTTATTGCCTTGTACTAGTGCCTATGCTGGCCGCTAGGGGGCGACTAGGAACTGGCGCAAAACTTGCTGACAGTCTCTTGGACGTGCTGGATTCTGTTAAAATCAAGAGCAAAAATGAATGAATGAATGAATGAATGGATGGATGAAAGGATGAATGAGTGAATGAAACACTGGCCTCCCTGGTGCAGGAGTTAAAGTCTCAGCGCTATCAAGCTACTGGCAGCTACTGCGACAAGAGTTCTCTTGGTGCGGCTGACCTCTCCTGTACACCTGCTGCCCCCCTCAGAAGTGTGTTTCAGTAGATCTGCCTGTTCTGCTCCCCAATCTCTCTGGTGACTCCTCTCACCCTACACCTCTGGCCTGCACCCCAGTTCTTCTATGCATAGATAAATAAAAGCAAAAGCTAGAGATAGTGGGGAATATTCTTTTTTCCATTGGGGCACAGTTGTTCTCAACCCCTGAAATGAAGTACGCAAAGGATAGGACAAATCTACACACATCTTTTTTTTTTTTTT